CAGTTGCAGCAACAAGGTACTATGCTTACTGTCACGATCAGATTCCACCTTCATGGAGAATAGATACTATTAATAATATGACAGACCTCAACCTTGAGTCAATTACTATTAAATCAGATTTTCCTTCTTTTTCAACCATTCAAAATATACCACTAGCTCTAATCCTGTGGGCTACTGTATGGAAAAAACAATCTAATGGAAAATTTACACAGGTTAAGAAGGAAATCACTCTGAGAACAATAGACCTAAGAAGACTGTCACACACCTGGTTTAACGGAACTTACACAACCACAGGTGGAAGTACAGCTTGCTACGTTTTCAAGGGTAATAGTATGTTCTATTTAGGGGGTCAAGCTGAGCTGGTAGATAACACGCTGGCTTGGTGTATTATAGTTAAACCTGAACACTCAATGCCCACTGGAAGTAACATGGATATGTCCTTCTGCTGGTCACTTCGATATTCGGGGTCGGGTGCTTAACATGTGTTTTATTATAAGATAAGAATGTCAAAGTGGAGGTCGTGCTTCTCATGTTTAGGAAGCATATGTGGATGTCGTAAGAAGTCTAAGGTAAGAGCGTCCGGTGATATAAATTTTTCTGTATCAAATAATATTAACATTGGAGTAACTACACAGGGTAAAAAAGATGACTTGAACAGTGAATCTGAACCAAAAAGTTATGGCCCCTTAAGAATGCTAAAGAATGAACCAGAGGATACTGAAGAAAGTGTTGAATAGAGGATTCGAAGATTTGATAAATGTTGATTGAGGATGTAGCATTGGTGGGTGGGAGATCCCGGTATTCTTGCTGAGTGGTCTAGAACATTTGACGAGAATCTGGGGATTTACGGTGAGATAAAAGCGAAAACTAAAAAAGTGCTGACAGGGCGCAATCCAAAAAGTGGTCTAGAACCGCGGCCCCTTAAGTATCCACAGGGGTGAAATAAAAGATGTTGAATAAGACTTAAAATGAGTTAAAAATAATGCTGGAAAATCCTACAAGAAAAATGAGTTAAAAGACCAGAAAAAATAAGATGGTTTTTGGTTCAGAAAAATTGAGCCCGCGGTTTTTGGTAGAAATGGTGGAAGCCGCTGACCGGAAGTGGGTGGGGATCGCGGGCTGAAAAGTGGTCTAGAACCGCTACTTCCTATACTACTAATATACTAAAAGTCCCCATGCATCCTCTTGGAGCTTTTCTATTATGACAAGTTTTTTTTCGATTTCCCTATTACTCCCATATTGTTAAAAAAAAACGTGAAATTTCAAGTTCACTCATAACAAAAATGACTTGCATCACTAGAAAGCTCATAAAAACTACATATAAGACATTTAAACAGTCACCTAAATTTTTCAAGCGGTTTTCGAGTTATTGATGTTCCAATTGTGAAAAATAGGCCAAAATCTGGCAAAAATCCTGGGTACTAGTCTGACAACACGTTTCCAACAGCTCATAACTCAAGAATAACTTGCAAAATCAAGGTAGCCGTTTAAATGTCTTATATGTAGTTTTTTGTAAGTTTTCTAATGATGTAACTTATTTTTCCTATAAATGAATGAATGAAAATTCACTTTTTTAACAATATAGGAGTTCAATAGGGAAATCGAACAAAAAACTTGTCATAATGGAGAAAGCTCCAAGAGGATACATGAGGACTTTTAGTATGTTATCAAGGTTGCTGAAGAGAGTGCATACGCCAATTTTTGGCTTTTTACTAATTTTTTCTGACCTATTTTCTATTTTGATTGTACTACAATATTCTGCGTACTTCAGATCTTCTATCCATGGCATGGATTAAAAATGTAAATTTATTCAATCGCCCGCGAAGGAAAAATAGCACAAATAGCCAATAACCATTTCCTGGCTCAAAGTCAGCCTATACGAGTCAAACTCGTCTTTGTATGTACTATGTTATAAAAGTATTACGATGTAATATAGCAAACTACATAATGATTGCAAGTCAAAAAGCTTACGTGCAGTGTTTAATCACTGTTTATACATATAAGTATCTACTTTATATTATTTACAAATGAAAAGTATGATTAAAATACTTCTATAAAACCGAAAAAGAAACCGAACTGCAACATGTCGCTTTATAAATATTTAGTCGCAAGGTGTTCGCTGTTATAAAGATGGCAAATCTACGGGAATGTATTAAACTGCCAGTGGTGGATGTTATTTTTTTGGCGGTATACCGCTGGTCAAAAGCTATTGAATATTTTTTGAGGATTGTTTTATTGAATACTTTTTTGGCCCCATTGAATATTTTACGGTGTAATTTACTGAATATTTCAGATGTTGTATTGAATATTTAATGTAGGTTATTGAATGTTTTTGCGAAGATATTGAATATTTCGGTAATTATTGAATATAAAACGTTTATTGAATATTTTAAGAGTGTATTGAATATAAAATGGGCAATTGATAAAACTAGAATAGTGAAGCGAATAGTGCGAATAGTGCGAATAGTCGACGAATAGTACGAATAGTCCGCGAATAGTCGACGAATAGTGCGAATAGTCCGCGAATAGTCGACGAATAGTGCGAATAGTCCGCGAATAGTCGACGAATAGTACGAATAGTCCGCGAATAGTCGACGAATAGTACGAATAGTCGACGAATAGTGCAATAGAGACTTTGCAAGGCTTTGCAGCAGTGCTGTAGAACTAAATTTACCGGGGGGGGGGGCTCTGTTGACAAACATGAAATCGTGAAAACATTCGTTGACGTACGTCAATGACGTCATACGTAACCGGTAAAAATTACGGGAACCACTGAGTATTTCAATAAAATATAAAACACCGGTAACTTCGAAAATAAACATTTTAATATTGTAGCTTTCGACTAAAATTCAGTCATAGTCAGGAAACATATTTCATATTTTTTTAAATTTGTAATCATTCCTGATGGTAAGTGGTAACCATATGAGTCATAAATTTTACTGATGGAATTTTATAGGAATTTTACTTGTAAGTTATGGCGATGTAAGTGAAGATTTAAGGGCTTAAGTGATTTCGTGTGCTTGGAAAACGTGATTTACATCACGAAACAAGAGAAGATATCGATTTATTATTTAGGCCCGTTTTTGGGCGAATTTGTTCGCGCGAAGCGAAAACCAAATTTCGGCAATGTGATTGGTCAGCGAAAAAATTGGATCAGTTCCTACTCTTTTACTTGTCGCTTCGCGCGAACAAATTCGCCCAGTGGAAAACGTCATTCTAGTGATTGTCATCAGTGGCGCCGTGGCCGAGGGGTGGGGGCAGGGGGGGGGCATGGCCCTCCCCTATTGTTGACACCCGTCGGAAAATTGCCAATGCTGCCGGAAATTGTCGGAAAATTGTCAAGGTTGTCGGAAATTGTCATTTTTCGGTTTGTCGGAAAAGTACTGCCCTTGCCCCCCCCCCCCCAAAAAAACACCAAAAAACATGTGCCCCACGGCGCCACTGATTGTCATTCTACTTCCTGTTAAATATTTGTTAAAACTCAGTGGTCCCGTAATTTTTACCGATTACGTATGACGTCATTGACATCAACGAATGTTTTCACGATTTCATGTTTGTCAATAGAGCCCCACCCCCCGCTTCGGTAAATTTAGTTCTACAGCACGGTGGAAAGCCTTGCAAAGTCTCTATTGCACTATTCGTCGACTATTCGTACTATTCGTCGACTATTCGCGGACTATTCGCACTATTCGTCGACTATTCGTACTATTCGTCGACTATTCGCGGACTATTCGCACTATTCGTCGACTATTCGCGGACTATTCGTACTATTCGTCGACTATTCGCGGACTATTCGCACTATTCGTCGACTATTCGCACTATTCGTCGACTATTCGCGGACTATTCGCACTATTCGTCGACTATTCGCACTATTCGTCGACTATTCGCGGACTATTCGCACTATTCGTCGACTATTCGCACTATTCGCACTATCGCTTCACTATTCTAGTTTTATCAATTGCCGGTATGTAGGTATTATTTTGATCACGTGATTCCAATACAGTATTGCATAATTCATAGAGTTTACACTGCATATGATAATAGAACGTGTGTTATGACATATGACAAGGGTCTTTGTATCTGAACAAATTATATCAAGCCTATTTACAGCAAAGACTCTCAGCTATAACACGTAACAACGAGCAAGTTGTAATGTTTATACAGCTAAGCAAACAAGAACACATCTTGTTGACAGGCTGTGAGATTTGTACTGTGGGTTTTCTTCAAGAACTTTGGTTAATACTGAAAAAATACATATTCAAATTAGTCAATATTTACCAAATTGTCGCAAACGGTGGCATTTAAATTTTCGGGCCTTTGAAATTTAAATGCCATTTATATTTTTAGGCCTTTAATTAAAATTTTATTATTCCAACGTGAAAAACTGTAAAAAGACAAAGGTTTCCAAGACTAAAAGGCAAATATTCTGGCCAGCCAGACATAATATTGCCCTGTTTACAGAGATAACTTTCGCTTAGCAGGGTACCAATTTGAAATATTCTTCGATTTTATCTCCAAACAGGTTTATAACAAGTTTTTGCTTAGAGCAGGTCTTTTCATATTGAATATTGGCCCGAATTTCTCAATATTTCAAGTGATAATTCTCAAACAACATGAAATAATTATGATGTATTACACTCATGTAAAAGCACTCATGTTTTTGCACAATATTCGCGCTAAAAATACAAACGGTATTAGTTTTCAAAACAGGAAACCGAACGCTGTGAAAAGCGCTCGGATTACATCGGTCAGCACAGAATTTTGCATACCAGACAAGTTTGTTGAATCAAAATTTTCCTTAAATGAGCAGATATTTGTTATGTAAATGAGTTTTTTTCTAACATATGCAGTATGATATTTAAATTTAAAGTCCTTAAACAAGGACGCATTGGAGCATATCCTGTATTTTTTATGTAGATATATCTACAAAAAGCAAAGTGTCTTGGCTCGTCGACATTCATGCAAAGAGATGAGATAAAGTTCAATTCTTTGCTGCAAAAATGGCGAGACCTGACTCGGCGATACGGCATATGATACAAACGAATGTTGGTAAGTATCTGTCGTTGTTTTCTTGTCGTTTAAACGTTTGCATACGTTTAAAAATATTGTGTAACCCTTGCTTCTTTGTGGGTGTTATTCGAGCTGTGAAGTGCCATTAATTGTAATTCTGTACTTCGCCAGAAGTGAAAGTTAAAGAATTTAGGCTAGTCCACTACTCTACTGCTCTTTTACTTGCAGAAATAAAGCATTTGAAATTCTGTTCATAGCCTAATATTATTTTCTTGCATTTCCTACTGTTAACTTGCATGAATCAATGTCTAGAACTTTCCAAAGTTTTGCAAGAAATTTGGACGAAGGCAGTTTCCCGCCTTGTAAATCACAAGAATTTCTTTTAGGCTTTCATGGATTTGTGCGTGGTTAATATATAATATCTGGCTTGCAAAAGCTCAAAAGATTTCGTTTATATAGTTTTGCGTTCAAATATAAACGACTTGTGCAAAAATGTAGCATGAAATCCTGCAAATAGCTCAAGCATGTTATCCGATAAATAAGCTCGACCATAATGGCGTTGTTGTTTTTAATGGTGTTTATTTGTACAAGAATACACGCGACTATTGCTGTCTTTTTATGTGTTTTATAAAGTTGAACGAAATACATTTTGTACAAGGCATTGTAATCTTCAAATAGTTTAAAAACGTTTTGTAAAATAAAGAATTTTTGTATATGAATTCTGTTACAGAAGTTAGCCAAGGGTAAATATTTGATATTGGCTGCAACCAATGCAATTATTTTGGATTAAATTTGTGTACCGTGCCAGGTTTAATTAGAGAATTCTAAGATTAAATAATAAGCCTCCTGTAGCTTGGTATATTAACTCATTAAGCATGTTGCATTGTGCCCTAATGAACCCTACTTTATTATTTTACTCTGTCTAAGGCCAGACAATTTTACTCATCAAGGGGACTGCCCTGCCACTCAACGGGTTAGTCAGACTATCTGCCCATGTGTCTAATTAACCCATTGTGTGGTGCAGACATTCCAACTCTCCCGATTTTACCGGGAGTTTCCCGAAAATTCATGCAATCTCGACAATCTCCTGGTCTCCCGATTTTTATAAAATTTTTCAGAATATTCAGGAAATATAGTAAAAATATCATAAACATACTGTTTTTAGCAACATAATAGTCTGTCTTGACCTTTTTATAAAGTTCCTTAATGGCAATTTATAGGATCACTTATAACAACATATTCCCAAAATGCAGGAAACACCATTTCAGAAGACTTAATTTTTATTATTTTTTCTCAGAAGAACTAGATTTCAATTCACTGAACAGTCTCCCTAAATTTTACCTCCAGTAGTTGGAATGTCTGGTGGTGGCATTCTCCCCCTGACAAGTAAAATTGTCTGGCGTTAGACAGAGTACTTTATTATTTTACTCTGTCTAACGCCAGACGGTTTTACTCGTCAATGGGGGTTGAGAGTGCACTTATTAAATAAGTTAAAGCACTTTCATCGATTACATGTCCATCTCACGGAAAAAGGCTGAAAGCAATAATTGTTTTTGAACGCGCTGTCACAAATTCAATATCAGAAACGTCGGTACAATCACGTCCCAATTCTGTGCATCACGTTTTATGGCTATTTATAGAATAATAAAGTCATTAAAAAAATATATATGAGAAATAAAATTCATTTCCCATAACCTGTACACTTTGAGACGTGCCAGGTCTGTCTGTTGTATCTGGAGATTTTAAATGAAAACGTGCTCAAATCACATCCAAACTAACACATAGTGTGTGAGTCTGATGACGTTTCTGATATTGAAATGTGGTCCGTGCCTAAATGTCAAAATCATCACGTGAAACTGCTTGTACTCAGACTGAGACTAACCTGTGCACTTTGAGATGCTCTGTCTCTTTTGGATATATTAAATGAAAACGTGTTCAAATCAAACTAACACATAAAGATAAGTACACGTTGTAGTACTGTAGAGGTAAATTAATTTTATTTCGATTTGCAGTAAGATCATATTCTAGCAATGATTTCAGGCACATATTATAGCTTTCTAGGTTAACAAAATACATTGGCAGATAATTTGGGTAACCCATTGATGCACGAGACACACATCCCCTTGACGAGTAAAATCATCTGCATTATAGAAGCTTGCTTTGTTGTATACAAACATGACGGCTGCATAGTCAGTCTGCATTTTAACTTGTGCCTAACTCTCTCATAATTTCTGACAAAAAGCCTTTGTTCGAAATGTTTCAGTTGTATTTTTCATGTAGTTAAATCCCTCTTAATCGATAGTTTCCCTGACAAGAAAAACTGCCTTGTTTTTTCTCCTAATACTCTCCTTCATAAGTACAAAATAAATATTTGTGGCTGTAGCAGAGTAAAGTATCGACATTTGGTGCATTAAAGGGGCAGTTTCACAGCGCTGATTGGCTAAAATAAACGGCGCAAAGAAACGTTTAAAATTAATGCTACATGATTGGAAAAGATGTAGCAGCCTTCAATTTTTAAAACAAAGCAAGGATGTCCTGCATAACAAAGGGATTATAAATAGTATATCGTATTTCACTCCTAACTTGATTAATTGTTGGCAGACAGTTTTTCAAGTTCGCGCATATTTTGGATGTGCAGTAGAACCGTGACACTGCCCCTTTAAGACAAATTGCAGCTTATAAGCCATTTCGCTCCAGCGCTCTCCCCAAAACGAATAAAATCGTCAGGTGTTCGACAGAGTAAAGAAACAAAGTAGGGTCAGTAAGGCACATTGTGGCTTAATGAGTTAATGTTTTTGTTTATATTTAGAAACTCAAGAGGAGATGAACATTCGGACCTTTACAAAATGGATAAATTCAAAACTTGGTGGGGTAAGGAACATTTCTGTGCATATAATGGACTATTTTTCTGTGCATATAATGGACTATTTTTCTGTGCAAACTCCATATAACATCAACTTTTATTCTCACATTTAGAAAGAACCTGTTGTTAAGGATTTGATCAAAGATTTACAAGACGGACGTGTCCTCTTGTCGCTTTTAGAAGTTTTGTTAAAAGTTAAACTGGTAAGTATGTAGCACAGTTGGATACGTACGTAGTATATTAAAACCGGGCAGTAAACAGTTAAGTTAGGACAAATGTACAGCCAAGACAAAAAGTGGTTGCCGAATGGACATTTTGCAGGTTTTGTTGGACTTAACTTTGCTTACTTGAATTAGCAGTGCTTATATATATTAAGAGATAATCACTTTACCTTTATAACAAATAATTATTAATCCATTAAGCTGCAATGCATCCTACTTTATTATTTTATTCTGCCAAATTAACTCTTGACAATTTTACCCCTTGAGGGAAGTGTCTTGTGCTTTAATGGGTTAACCAAGCAATGTGGCATTTTTTTTGTTATTTTTCTTTAACAATTTTGTAATATCACGTGGTATATATACCATTTCATGGCAATGCTCTTTAATTTATATAGTAATGTAGCTACTTTAAAATGGCATAATATGCTCAGCAAGACAGCAATACTCCTCAATACAAACATTTTGTAAATAGAAGAAAAGCCCCAAGATGAGCCAAGCAAAGCTCTTGTGGAATTGTTACATCTTTTTTTTTATTAAAATATGTTTATATAAAAAAAAACAATCTGGCCATGTGCCTTGTTAACCCATTCAGTTTCATTACACTCTAATGTGCCTAATTTATTATTTTACTTTGTCTAATGCCAGACAATTTTACTCCTGAAGGGGAGAGTGTAGGCATTCAATGGGTTAATCATGTTTCTTACAGCGTGGTGAAAAAGGGAAGTTGAAATTTCACAAAATTAATAATGTGAATACAGCATTGAAGGCATTGGAAGAAAGAGGGGTAAGCAAATAGATCTACATTACTAGTGTGATTCCTCTAAGCTCTGCACGGTTGAATCAATAGGATCCTTCCATGAAGTTCAAAAATTTAACTTAAACTTTAGGCCAATTGATCTAATATTAAAGCTCATTTATTTCTCTATTGTCAGAGGGAGGGTGGATTATTAGAGAAAGGGCGAGGTTTATTAGAGAGAGGGCGAGGCTTATTAGAGAGAGGGGGATTATTAGAGAAGATGCCTTATTAGAGAGAGGGTGGGGCTTATTAGAGAGAGGGGCTTATTAGAGAGAGGGGCTTATTAGAGAGACATGGGCTTATTAGAGAGACGGGGGCTTATTAGAGAGAGGGGGCTTATTAGAGAGACAGGAGCTTTTTAGAGAGACGGGGGGCTTATTAGAGACACAGGGGATTATTAGAGAATAGAGAGAGAGGGCTTATTAGAGAGAGGGGCGAGGCTTATTAGAGAGAGGGCAAGGCTTATTAGAGAGAGGGGCTTATTAGAGAGAGGAGGGCTTATTAGAGAGAGGGTGAGGCTTATTAGAGAGTGGGGAGGCTTATTAGAGAGAGGGGCTTATTAGGGAGAGGAGGGCTTATTAGAGAGAGGGGGGCTTATTGGAGAGAAGATGAGGCTTATTAGAGAGAGGACGATGTAATGCATGTACATTTATGGTGCCATCTTGCTACATTAATTTTAAGTAAGATGTTTTGGGGACATGTTAAAACACAGCATTTATGCAAGAAAACCTAAGCCCTGACTAAAAGATATATTTCAGATGCATGTGAAATGAAACGTGAATGTTTAATTTTATTCCAGTTGAAACTCCATGGAATAAGTGCTGAAGCTATTGTGGATGGCAATAAGATATCAATTCTGGGTCTTATTTGGATTATCATCCTACATTTCCAGGTGAGTATGTTTATAGAGAGGGTTTCATGTTAAATAATAAACTCTTGTGCAAAAATTCTTGACAGAGTTACAGAATATTATTGCTAATATAAAAAGTTGTTATAATGCAATTTTTCTCCACTCTCATGCCACAATATTAATCAAACGAGAACAAGACGTGCATGTGAGTTGATGAGACTTAACTGAATATTACTACACATACTAGCAAAACCTCTCATCAAAATTTGAACCAGATATTGCATGAAAGTTGATTAGAGTTTGCAATCAAACGCAAGCGAGGGTCGCAACCCTCACTCGTGTTTGGCTGCTGCTTCAGATTGCATTTTTACTATAAAACTCTTGGATATCTTAGGTGCAAGGTATTGTGTTTGAAGAAGAAGAAGATCCAAAGCAATCTGATGACCCATCACCAAGAAAGAAATCTGTTGCAAGCCAAGCAGAAGTTGAAAGACTCCTTATCAAATGGGTGCAGGATGTACTCAAAGGGCAAGTCATTTCAAACACTTTAACATTCTCAACAACTTTATCCATAGTAGTTTTGTAGTTCAGTTGTTTCTAAACTATGTGTCTTATTAATTTAGGTTTTCAGATGTCCTAAATGTCAATGACATTGTGAAAAGTTGGAAGGATGGTTTGGCATTCATATTCCTTTTATTTGTATACAGGTGAGTTTGGAATGTCCTAAAGAGGACATGCAAATATTCAATTGGTTGTTGTTTCCTGCAGTATAAATAAAAGTTAATTTAGTTTAGGTTTCCTCCTGTAGTAACACTTGATCAATAAGAGATGGTCCTTACTGGACCTCTAGGATATTGAAATATTCGCTCACTTTCGATTGTATAACTATTTATTTGAAGATAAACATAACTTTAATAGACTTAATAATATGAATTGATTTTCTAAAACATGTCCGACCGAATGTACACATTAGAGAAAGAATCTCATTAATCTTTAACCAATCATATTTAGCGTTATAGAATTTGGCGGGAACTTATTATTCTTAACACTCCCACTTAATGAGTTCACGATAAAATGTGCATTCACTTATAAATTTAACTTCAACAATTAAATTACAATGTTCAGATGTAATCCCAATCAAGTCCCTTAACTTTTCATAACTTGATCTTGCTAATCCTTTTGTTAGTATGTCTGCTTTCATATCATCTGTTCGACAATATACTACATTGATCTCCTTCGACTGAACGCGTTCTCGAACGAAATGATGGCAAATGTCAATATGTTTCGTTCTATTATGATATTTGGCATTCTTCGCCAATTCTATTGTTCCTTGGTTGTCTTCGAAGATTGTTATCGGTTTTCTGATTTTAAATCCAACGTCATATAACAGTCTTTGTAACCATATCGCTTCTTGCGTGGCTAAACTTAAGGCAATATATTCTGCTTCTGTTGAACTCTTCGCGACTGTCCTCTGCCTTTTGCTCGACCAACTAACTGTGCTATTAGCAACTTGAAATACATAACCTGATGTTGATCGACGAGTATTAATATCTCCTGCCCAGTCAGAGTCTGAATAACCGACTAGTGTAGGGTTTTTATCTGCTGAGTATTTCAGGCCATAATCTAAAGTTCCTTTAAGATATCGTAATACACGTTTCACCCCGATCCAATGATCTTTGCTAGGTTTTGCCATAAATTGTGAAAGTGCTCCCACTGCAGCTGAGATATCTGGTCTTGAAATCACTGAAAGATAGGTTAGGCATCCAATCGCTTGCTGGTATGTTTGTGTGTCAAATTTTTCATCCTCATTTGACAACTCTGAAAACTTTGTCCCAGGTTCCAGTGGTGTTGAAACCGGTTTACATGATTCCATTCCGAATTTGCTTAGGACTCGTTCCACGTAATTACGCTGACTGATTGTAGTAACTCTGGCTTCTCGATCTCGTTTAATCAGCATTCCCAATAGGTAATGAACTTCACCTCTGTCATCCATCTTAAATCTTTCGCTGAGCGCTTTCTTCTCTAAATTCAGCATTTGGATATCGTTGGAAACTGGAATTATATCGTCCACGTAAACTCCGAGTATCACAAAACTTATTCGACCACCGTCCTTTTTAACCGATTTAACATAAATGCAACCATCTGCACCACTTTTTCTGTATCCTCTCGACTTTAAGTATCCATCGAGCGTGTCATTCCAACAGCGTGCAGACTGTTTGAGACCGTAGATACTTTTCTGCAGCTTACAAAGATAATCTGGTTTGTCTGGATTAACAAAACCTTCCGGTTGTTGCATATAAATGTCGCAATCAATGTCGCCATTTAAAAAGGCAGTTCGAACATCCATTTGGTGGACTTCGAGATCATATTCGTTGGCTAATGCCAGTAATGTACGTAAAGATGTATGTCTGGCCACGGGGGAAAATACTTCGTCATAATCAGCTCCTTTTGTTTGGGAGTATCCTTGAGCTACAACTCTCGCTTTGAAACGATCAATTGACCCGTCTTCTTTCCGCTTTACCTTTAGCACCCACCGCGATCCGACTACGTTTTGATCATCACAGGGAGGAACCAATTCCCATGTATCGTTTTCTAGTAATGAAGAATATTCTGAGATCATCGCGTCTTTCCATTCCTTCGCATACTTCCCATTCAGCGCTCTTTGGACACTTTCTGGATCATCAACTTCAGATGTTAAAGACTCGACTACTGGACATGCATTGTCTCTGAACTTACTCGGAATCATACGCTGTCTTACAGGACCTAAATTTTTCACGTTTTCCATAAACCGCTCTTCGTATGTTTTCGAAGTAGATAGGGTTTCACTTTCTCCCACTGGTTCGTCGTTCTCGGGATTAACGGGTTGCTCCATGGTTTCATTCAAGTTAATGTTTGTTTCAACAACAGGATCCACTCTGAACTCATCCTGATCTTCGTTGAAGGTTTGATCATCAAGTTCATCAACTCTATCTAGATCAAATAACTCAACAGTTTGTTTTTCATCATCCGGAACTTCAATTCTCTCTTTCTGCTCAAACACAAAGTCATTCTTTGGGTTCTCAAAATTATGAAATTTCTTCTCTAAGAATTGAACATCTCGACTTATCATGAACTTTCTTCTTTTAACATCATAAACTTTGTATCCTTTTGTGCCAGTAGGATAGCCGACAAATATAGCTTCATAAGACTTTTGGTCTAATTTTCTACGATTACTGTCCGGGATATGAACATAGCACATACATCCAAAGACTTTAAGATTAGAAACATCTGGCTTTTCACCGAAAATGCATTCATGAGGGGTTTTGTCCTTTAATGCAACTGTAGGACTTCGGTTATGTAGGTACACGGCTGTATTGCACGCTTCAGCCCAGAAGACTAGGGGCAAATTTGCATGATATATCATGGATCTTGCAGATTCTAAAATCGTACGGTTTAATCTTTCTGCCACACCGTTTTGTTCAGGGGTGTAAGGACAAGTGAATTGTTGGACAATGCCCTTCTCTGTACAGAATTTGGAGAAACTGTTCGATTTGTACTCACCGCCGTTGTCGCTGCGCAGAATCTTCACTTTATTATGATTTCCATTTTGATTTTCAACATAATTCACAAACTCCTTGAACTTAGTAAGTGCTTCATCTTTCTTCTTAATAAAGTAAGCAACAGCATATCTGGAATAGTCATCAGTAAATGTGACCAAATAACGGCTACCGCCAATCGACTCAACTTGCATTGGTCCACATATGTCAGTATGTATGATTTCATAAGGTCTGCTTGCCCTATGTAGACTTGCTTTTGGAAAGGGATTCTTATGCATCTTTCCCATTGAACATCCTTTGCAATCTTTCTCCACTTGTTTACTTTCATCATACATCATTCCGGTGACCATATCATTCTTCATCAGTTGATTAACATATCCATTGTTTAGATGACCAAATCTCTGGTGCCATATATCCAAGGGTTCAGTTGTAGGATGGGCAAATTCAACTGGATTAACAG